TATTTTATAATAGTAAATTCATAGTAATATTATAACTCATTATATAGTTATTAAAAATGCCGCGGACACGAAAATAATAGAAAGGACACCATATACACATAAAGGACGCCCTTTATAGTGGGAGGACATCCCTAAACCACAAAGGACGTCCTTCGGCCTATATTCCCGTCCTTCGTCCCCATGTCCGTCCTTTCTCTTTACTATACAATTAATCGACTTACTTTTTGCTTTGTGTTCATTTATTTGTAAGAAAATAATTATTTGTTTTGGTAATATTTGCGAGAATTTATTATTATTTTCGAGACAACCAGAAATCAATTCATAACGACGCCCTTTGCTCAGATTACACAGTCAATGAATACCGATAACTTTCTAAGTACACGCATTCGTTTAAAAGCACTTAGACTTATATGGTTTTATATTTATAATATTATATGGTTATTTTGTGGTTACTTTTTTTTGTTCATATTATTATAATTATTTATAATTTGTTTTTATTATTTAACTTTTACTATTCGAATTGTATTATTAACCATATTATAAACCATTAAATTAACACTGGCACCCATTATTTTTCTTTTTCTGTGTTTTATTGATCTGAAATAAATATTATCAGTCAATTGGGTCTTCGAGCAAAAGAAGTGTTTTTTTCTTTTAAAAGAAAAAAATTAAGGAATTTTGGATCGTCATGTGTTCTATTTAAGTGATTGTTTTGTTTATTTTTAGAAAGGGGGTAATGAAATGGTTCGTAAAAACGAACCATGTCCTTGTTGCCGGCACAGAGGTGTCCGTGTCGGCCGGTTAATAATCATAAACAAAACAACATTGTGAAAAAAAATGTAATTATTTTTTTATTTAAAAAATTTTCGTTGGTTGAAAAATAATAAGGAAAATAGCCACAAAATATATGTGGATAAGCGGGAAAACAAAGTAAATCATAGTAATAAATAAATATTTTTTACTATTATAAAGAAAAAAATTAATATTTTTCTTTGATTAAATAAAAAGAATTAATTCAAAAAATGCCGAAAGTCGAACTCTAGTGATTTTATTCAAAAAAATAGTACAAATAATTATTTTATAACGATTTAGTTTCTTTTTGGTAATGACTTATTGATAATTGTCATAATCAATAAAAGTGTAGAAAACATCAAAATAAAAGATAATGAGAAAAACATAAAAAAAGAATTTTAAAGTTGTGAATTCCATTAGAAAAATCAGGGCAAATTTAATTATTGGTTTAATGAAGTTTTTATCCAAATTTTTATCATTTATAATGTAATACAGTAAAACTTCTCATTAGTGGGTTCCATTAAGAGACGTTCCAACCAATCAAAATTAACAACACTTATTGGGGGAACGGAAAAAAGTAATTTCATAACCACTATTGAGGGTTTCTATTCCCGTTTAATCTAATTATGAGAGGTTTTAATGTAAAGACAATGAGCATTATTGATTAATAAGCGACATCAACTATAACTTATTATTAATTTATTTACAAAGTGTAGTTGTAATATAAAATTTTAATCAGCATGTGGAATAAATCAGATAATTGAATTTTTGTTGTAAAAATGAAAAACAAAAAGTTATAAAAGTGGAAAAGTGCACATTTATTCAAAAAAAGTTCGACAAAGGGGTTAAAGGAATTAAAATAATCCCGACAAAAAAAATGCTCAATAAGTGGACATAAAGAACAGTAAAAATCGGGTTTATTTATATATATTTTTGCAGCCAATAATAATCGTCTAAAATGCGAGTTAGAAAAGAAGGAATTAAACGGGAAAGTGTATGTAATGGGTATAGGAAAATAAAAAATAAGAGAGGGATATAAAGCGAAAGGGTTTGGGTTGTTGTGAAAAAAAAGACGAAAAAACATGGAAATAGTTGAGTGTTCCAATAATAGAACAACCAATGCAAAAATAAGACACAATATCGGCAAATTGCGCTTCTGATAACCACAATGTGGTTTTTCTGTCATAAAAAGGATTTTAAGTGCAAAAATTTTGGAAATAACGGGGTAGATAACACGATAGAAATTACTTTTTGTTGTGTTTCCCGAGATGACAGTGATGAATATCGGAATGTGAGAACAAAACAAGAGGAATTCGATTAAAACACAACAAGTTACGGATTTAATGCCCATTGAACTTTAAGAAACAAACGATGGAGTACAACAAAAGCACAAAAGCTTGTCCCTGCAGCATTTGCAAAAAGGCTGTTCTGTACACAAGCACTCCACAAAAGATAAAAACAACTAAACTTTGTGTGATGATTTTGAATGCACTCAAAGAAGTCCATCCACACATAGAGTACTTCTCGTTGAAAGTAGACATTTTCCCTTTTGTAACAACTCATTGGCGCATATTGTCTGTTTTCAAACAACTTCGTGGTTCAAAGTGGAGGAAAGCATTACTTGATGCGTTTAACCACTGCACTTTAATTCAGTCTGGAAAAGGGGTTTGCAAAACACGAGGATTTTACAAAATAAAAGAAGCTGAAGACCAAACAGTCTCATCTTCAGAGGCGTCAGTACGTGCTGAGCTTGCTGAGTCATTCCGCTGTGTAAGTGTCTCACTCCGTCGTGACGTGTCACTACTTAACAAAGTACAATTTGTGCGACATGTTTTGTCGCAAGACGAACATGCCTTTTTCTTCAATTCAACTGTTTCATCAATCGCAAAGTTCGAGGCATTTGTTGAAAGCTCAGTACCTCGCCAACAACGTGCTATCTTGTCATCTTATGATGAGTCTCTTTAATTGTAAACTATTATTCTCATTCTTTTACTATTGTTATTACTATATTTGTTCTAAGAAGTATTGATTAGTTTTATCTAGTATTCAATAGTATCTTTAACTATAAAAACACAACTACCAAATTGTTTCTCGAATCAAATGAAGACAATGGCGGCTGTCATTTGCCAGAGGGAAAAGAATGTCTTTACGTCTTATCTCATCACACAATTTAATAATTAACAAAGGTAATACCATAAAAACGTCTCAAAACTCTTTATGCTATTAAACATATGGAAACACAACGCAAACAATTGTTCAGATTCAACACTGCGATGATCGAAATCCGAGCACATAAATCCAAATTGCGTCACATCCCACATCCAGAAACACCAAAGCCAAGATACACAGGCGAGATCGACATCCACAAGTTCGACCGTTCTTGTGTTTCACGTGACATTGCATTCTACAACAAGTCAAAGCTCCACCAAGTGGACACATGCGAAAAGACTGAACCTCTCATTCCCCAACACCCAAAAGCCATCAGATCTTATACCAGACAGATGTTGTGCTTTGAAATTATTGGGTCGGGGCGAACAGAGTAATTGTCGTAACTATATTATT